AGTATTTCTGTGTTTGGGAGGGACATTGGTCTGCATTTTTTTGTTGTTTGCCATTTTCTTTTTTGTATTCTGTTCCCTCTGATTTTTATTTCTCTGCTTTCTTTTTCTTGCCTTCTAATGGGTTATTTGAACATTTTTTTGAGTTGCATTTTGATTCATCTCTAGTGTTTTTTGAGTGTATTTCTTTGCAAAGACTTTTTTTAGTGGTTGCTCTAGATAATATATTACATATGCACTATCACATCCTACTGGTGTTTACATTTTACTAGAGTGAAGTGTAGAAACCTTACATACCTTACGTTCCTTTGCCTTTCCCTGTTTCTAATGTAATTTTCTTAAATATTTCTTCTATATATGTCAAAAAGCACATCAGACAATGTATACTTTTTGGCTCAAACACCAAACATAATTTAGAAAGCTCAAGAGGAAAAGGAAAGTCTGTTGTATTTACCCATATTTTTGCTTACTATGTTCTTTATTCCTTCTCAGTATTTCAAGGTTCCCTCTTTTTTTGTTTATTTTTGTTTCCAGAACTTTTCTTTAGACATTATTTTAGGGTAGGTCTGTTGGTGACAAATTCTCTTAGTTTTGTTTTGTCTGAGAATGTCTTTATTTCTCATTCATTTCTGAGATGTAATTTACCATGTTTAGAATTCAGGGTTGACATTCTTTTATTTCAGCAATTAAAAATATTGTTCCATTTTCTTCTGGCCTCCAAAGTTTCTGATCAGAAATCCACTGTCGTTCAAATTATTTTCCCTCTTTAGGTAAGGTGTTTTTCTCTTGCTGCTTTCAAGACAGTTTGTCTTTAGTTTTTAGTCTGATTATAGTATGTCTTGCACAGATTTCTTTGAGTGTTTCTTGTTTGGGAGTTTATGTAGTTTTTTGAATCAGTAGGCTCAGCTTACACGTTTTACAAATTTGGGAACTTTTCAGTCACTGTTTCTTTAAATACTTTTTCAGGCTTAGCTTCTTTTTCCTCTCCTTCTGGGACTACAATGATGTGAATTTTGGATCTTTTGTTGTAATTCTTCAAGCCCCGGAATCCTCGCTTATTTTATTTATTTTTATTTTTATTTTATTTTATTATTTCATTTTATTAGTCTACTTTATGTTTTTCAGATTGAGTGATTTCTGTTGTTCTATTTTCAAGTTCATTGAGTTGTTCCTCTGTTTTCTGCATTCTACAGTTGAGGTCATCCATTTGCTTTTTCAATTTCAGTTATTTTTCAGTTTTAAAATTTCTATTAGGTTCTTTCTGTGTCTTCTTTTTCTTGTTCTGGAACTGGAAAGCCTAGCAATACATTTTTGAAATGTTACTAAAGGAAGAATATTTTATTATCTTAGTTCTGCCCTTTGAAGCTATACAAAATAAGAATACTAATACTAATAGTCCTAGTGGTTGAGGACTATTTTGTGTATGATTTACATTGGTTACTGTATTTAATTCTTAAGTAATTCTATCTTTTATTCATTCAACAAATGTTTACTGGCTACCTACCATATATAACACTTTTTTTTTTGGTCAGTCAAATATTTTTGCTTTGGCTTCAAATGGTTAAACAGCTTGTCCTTTATTTACTCAGGAAAGAACTTCATTTCTTCCTTTTTTGGTAGGTTGTAGGCATTGGGAGAAAGAGACATTGTGAGCTAGGTTCTCACACCTTCACATAAACCAGCCAAGAATTTTCCTTTAGGGTTTCCACACTGTTTTTAATTCAGTTTGGAGATTTATCAGTGCTTTTGTGTGGAGCAATATTGTATTTTCAAAGGGTTTTCTGAGATACAAATACTCTTAACTTTTTGGGTAGCCATAAAATTTTAATTGTCAATTTGTGCCATGAGAAAGATTGGGAAGCACTTGTCTATTTTGTAGATTAAAGAATATTTTTCCCCTACAAAGTAAATTTTGTGTATTTAGCCCAATAGCATCATCCTTCACAAATAAACTTCTTAAGAGAATTATCTCCAGCGGTTTTCAAACATTATTGAGATCATAATCACCTGGTGGGTTGTTAAAAAACAGATTGCTAGGCCTTATCTACAGAATTTCTGATTACTTAAGTCTCAGCTGGTGCCTAAAAATCTGGCACTTTTAACAAGTCCTGGGGTGATGTTGATTATGCTGTTTAGGGGATTTCACTTTGTGAACCATTTGTCTACACACAATTTTTCTACTTCCTTGTCTCCCTTTGATTCTTCAGTTACTTCAACAGATTTTAATTTTCATAATTCTTTCCAAAGTTTTCTCTAGCCTCCTTCTGATCTTCATGTTGCCACATCAAATGCACACTTTTCTGTTCCTTATCTTACCTACTGTACAGAAATCATTCACCATAGTTCCTTTCTCCTCCTGCTGAGGAAACTCTCTTCTATTTGGTTTGGGGAACTCCCTCTCCCTCCCTCCTCCTTTTCTTTCTGGCATGCTCTTTCTCAGCCTCTCTTTTTCTCAAACCAAACTCTAAATGTTAGGATTCAGTCGGGCTCCTCTTCATATCTTATTTTACCTTCTGTTCCTAAATGATCCACTGAGTCCTATCTGTGTGCTAATAATTCCAATTTATGTCTGCAGCTCGGACTTTTCTTTGTTACAGCTTAACAAATCGATTTTTTATATGCCCACTTGAATAACTTATAGATATTTTGAATAATATATCCAAAATCAATCACCATATTGAATAAATTCTAAGATGCATATTTCTATCATTTTAGTATATGTGAATTCTATAGTCAGTGACATCTTAGAGTCTGTGAAATGGAGTATTTCCTTCCTACCCCTTTCTAATAAAAAGTGCTCTTCCTCCAGCTTTCTCCATCTTATAAGTAGTCTTTCCTTCCATTCAGTTGTTAATGCCAGAAACCTGGGACTTGTCCTTGACTCTTGAGTCTTTCTTAAATTTTTTATTCTTTTTTTTAGTAATCTCTACACCCAACATGGGGCTCAAACTCGTGACACTGAGATCAAGAGTCACATGCTCTACTGACTGAGCCAGTCAAGATGCCCCTCTTCAGTCTTTCTTCTCTTATTTCTACCGCCAAAACATCTCTCAGTTCCTTTTTCATACCTTATCTGTTGCTGTCACCTTTGTTCAAACTATAATTACCTGTCCCATGGATTATTGCAAATGCCTATTAACCTTGGTGTCTTCCAACCCAATCTGTAGTTAGTACTTAGATTCATCTTTTTAAAATGTAAATCAGTTCATGTCAACATCTTGCTTAAAATCCTTCAGTGAATGAAATCCGTAATCTTTAATACAGCATAAAAAGTTCTCTCTAAGCTGGTTTGTGCTGCCTCACTTCACTTAGCATTCCTTTTTTTTTTTTTTTTAAAGATTTTATTTATTTATTTGACAGAGAGAGATACAGTGAGAGAGGGAACACAAGCAGGGGGAGTGGGAGAGGGAGAAGCAGGCTTCCCGCGGCGCAGGGAGCTCGATAAGGGGCTCGATCCCAGGACCCTGGGACCATGACCTTAGCGAGAGGCATTCACTTAACGACTGAGCCACCCAGGTGCCCTCTCACTTAGCATTCTTTTTGGTTCAGACACACTGGTGTTCCATCAGTTTTTCTACAGTATCCTGTTGTTGCTTCTTCCTGGAATGTTCTTTCCTCCACTTTCCATCTACCTATCTCCTTACTTGTCTTTTAGGCCACATATTTCATTTCTCATTTTAAAGATCACTCCTTTAGAGGTCATTGCTGACCCCAAAATCTACATTAGATCTTATTATACTCTTTCATGGTGTTTTGAGAGTTCTGCCCTTTGCACTTATTGTACTCTCTCATAGTGTGCTTTCCTGTATGGCATTCATGATTTATTTACTGTGTTTATCTTCACTGTGTTCTGTGTCTCATTGTTTTACTCCTTATGCTAGAGCTTAGCACAATACATAGCAAATGGAAGGTATTTAGTAAATATTTTTAAGTAAAAGAAAATATGACTAGAGCTTAAAAAGATGCATATGTACACATATAGACTAAAAAGAATTTTTTTAAAAAAAATGTAAAGCAAATAAGGAGCACATAAATTTGGGAAATGGATATTCATTCTTAGTTGCCAATTATATACATTGTCTGACAAAATCATTTTAAAAGAAAATTTACTTTTTATGAGAACGCAATTTCTGCAAAAAAGTTGAAAAATTATTTCAAAGTAATTTTAAGTAATTCATGGTATTTAAGTAAAGTTCATTTTATTTTTACTAATAGAAATTGAGTGATTCTGGTTTTTTTCATTTTCATACAAAATTAATCTTTTGTGTAACCAATTCTTCTTTTTTAAACCACCCCGATTTTTTGGGAGGTTTCAGCATTATAAAGAATATCATACTACATTCCAGGAACAACATTTAATTACTTGGTTTTTTGTTATAGTGGTTATTGGCAAACCGCTGTTTAATTCTGAAAATGTTCCTTCATCTTTGGAGAACGACCTCATGTCTGTAGGCCAGCATGGAAAAAAATAGCATGACTAATAGACACAGTGGATAGTCTTTTTCTTTTCTGGAATATATAATTTTTTCATTTCTATTCCTGTTTATTATTAGCCTTTTCTCTTCTTGCAGAACTTTTGATCTGTAGGATCCATCTAGAGTACATAAACTTTATATTCTGCATTCTATAAATTTTACTCATTTGGAACCTTAGCTTTCTCTTGGTATATATAGTGAGTGCTGCAGACAAAGTTCTTGAAACCAGACAGGATCACATAGTTTAAAATGTTTATAATGTCTTTGTCTGTCCTATCTTGTGCTGTCTCCTTTACTGCACTCTTTGTCTGACTCTCACAGGAGACATGGATTACAACTGGTTGGACCATACGTCTTGGCATAGCAGTGAGGCATCCCCAATGTCTTTGGTGAGACATGTGGAGCCTTACTATTCAGTTTTCGTTTTTCAGTTCACTTTCCCTTTTTTATTTACACCTTTGCATGTTTTCTTTTCTGTACCTTTTTTTTTTATTTTTATTTATTTTTATTTTTATCCCACACCTGTAGGGGACAGTCAAAAGGGAAAAAGAAAAACTAGTGAGCAGGCAGTTTTGTCGGACTCTAACACCAGGTCTGAGAGACAAAAGAAAAGGATGTACTCTGGCGGCCACTCTTTGGAAGAGGACTTGGAATGGTCTGAGCCTCAGATTAAGGACTCTGGGGTAGATACCTGTAGTAGCACAACCCTTAACGAGGAGCATAGCCATAGTGATAAGGTACTGAGATCGTGGAGCCTGCCTTTCAACCCGCTCATTTGGTCTTCGTTTGCTCTCTGTCACTCATTCAAACGGAACATAATGAAAGGACAGGGCCTTTCAGGGGTCAATGTAGCATTTCTTAAGGTGCAGAAAAGAAAAACAAAACCCAAACAAACAAACCAAAATACTTCTTGCTTGCTTTGCTGTTCTTGTTGTTCGACGGCATACCAAAAAACAAGTAAATGAAATAAAAAAATTAGGAACAAAGGAATGCTCTGTCTATGGTCGCGTGAGAGAACTTTGTGATGTTTTTATAAACCACAAATATAAAGAATTTTTGGATTGGCTCATTTGATTTTTTGCATATATTTTCCTTGGGATGAAAATTAAATTATTAATAGTTTCAATCCCAGGCAAAAGGGAGATAATTGGGTCTGTTTGCACAGAAAAAGTTGTTTTTCTTTTTTCCCTTTCACTGTCGTTTTGCTCTTTTGTTTTATTGTCATAGCATTTTAATGTAGTATTAATTAGTACTAGAACCATTGCCATCTGCTTTGGTATTTATTATTTCTGCTTTTAGAGTAGTGAGACTTTTGAAATCTTTTTACCATATAGATGTGATTGACTAGAACTTGTCTTTTGCCTGCCAAATTTTGCATGAAGATGTGCATGTTACTTTTAGATGACTGAAACTATGATTACACAAATCGTTTACTTTGTTATTTGACATATAATTCATAATGGACGGTGTCATGATTTATAAAGGGCTTGGCTCTGCCCTGAGAAAGAGATAAACTCCTCACATTTTCAAGCTTATTTAACAGTGGATACCATTGAATTATCTAATAAATTTAATTTACTAAATAGATCAAAGACCTGAAAGAATCAATGAACCTGCAAAAAGTGAGAAATATACACTAGCCTCACCTTTGAATTAGGTCTCTCTCTCTGTCATGTAGATTCAGCTGAAAAGTTACTGGGGCTTGTGTATTTTTATAATTGTAATCTAAAAACCTATTTCAAAGAAGCCCTCATCATAGGCTCAAATCTGATGTATTAATATAATTTTACCTTTTAACTTATACTGTAATTAAGTCTTTCAAAGTCTCCAATAGTGTTTGAATATTAAAATATCATTTTTAAATGAATTTAACCTCATAGAATTTCAATCTATCTCTTCTGTCATGTGAATTTTTAATTAATCTTCAGCATGTAGATAGTTTGCATATATTTTCAAGATTTCTCAGATTTCATAGAACATATAACTGCAATAATGTGTCAGGGCACTGTAAGAATTTGCAGTAATTGGATTTTGAAAAATCTTGAGATTTGGAGCATGTCAGCATAACGTAGTAAGCCCTTTTGATCAGTGTTTTGAATGCAAACTGGTTTGTGTAATCATAACTCTTTGGAAATCTGGAGTTTAGAGAGACTGTACAACAAAGGGTTATTTATCATAAAAGAACATTAATTTTTTTTTTGTTTGTTGACGCAATATGTCAGCACCCTGTGACGTGGCAGCCATCTAAAGATGGAGATCGTTTAATTGGTCGCATTTTGTTAAATAAGCGTCTAAAAGATGGAAGTGTGCCTCGAGATTCAGGAGCAATGCTTGGCTTGAAGGTATGTGATGAAATATGAGATTTTGGCTCCCTACTCCTTTACTGATTTATGAGAAAAGCAAAAATTTAATAACTCTTTCCAACTTATGCCAACTTAGTATTTCTTTCCCATTTTCAAGAATTCCCAAGTATTTGCACTCATGACCCAAAACCTTTTCATTTTCCAAGTATTATTTATTCCACAATAATACTTGTATATATGATTTTGGAAAATACAACTCGAGTGATATGCTTGAATACTGAATACAGTGCTGTCCTTTAAGTCTATATGTGTGTTTATATTCTGTTAAAACAATGGTTTTAACCAATGACTAAATATGCAAACTTGGGAAATGTAGTATATTTATGACATGGTGTTTAAAGGAAAACCACAGGCCTCAAATAGCATCACTTAGGTTAAGGCCCCATGTCAGTTAAACAAAACTTAATCCCTAGCTTAATGCAGTTTCAGTCCCCCAGCAATGTAACCTCTATCCAGTCAACATGGAATTTTCTGGTCAATACTAGGAAATTTATTGATAGACCCCCTTTTGGAGGGCAGTCTTGCCTTAATGGTGCATTCCTTGCTAATAAATTCCTTTCTTCTATTTTTTTTTTTAATGCCCTCTCTCAGCCTTTGAAAACCTTTCTTTTGTTGACCTCAGAAGAGCTCTCCTCTTCTTGCTAGATGGGATGCTGTCCAATTCATGAATCACTTAATAAAGCCAATTAGATCTTCAAATTTATGCGGTTGAATTTTGTTTTTTAGCAAACAATATAATTTTTGTTTCAGGGTAGGAAAATGTGGGTGTGTGTGTATTTGTGTGTGTGAGAAAGAGTATACTGTTTAAAGTCTGGAAACTCAAAAATACTTATGGTAGGAGATTTAATGTAACTATTAATTCATATTTGACTGTAAAATACCAGACAGTTATTTGGTAAGTAGATCAAACAGAACTTTGTGGTTTTGGGGGGTTTTTGTTGTTGTTGTTGTTGGTTTTTTGTTGTTGTTATTGTTCATCTGTATGGTGAATTAAAAACTGAAATGAAAAAAGAGTAAGTGGTTTTTAGAGTTAAGCAATTACCACAGAAGTTGCCCTATAGAATATAGTGAGATATTAGAAAACTTTGGGTATAAGTGGAATTGGCCAACAAACATTTATTGGGTGCCTGCCATGTAGCTGGCACTCATCTGAGCATTTTACTTCTATCATATTATTTAACACAGCAGATGAGAAATAGGCTTAGAGAGGTGTCATAACTTGCCCATGGTCACAAAGATGATGATGAAGGTGAGATTTAAATCCAGATCTGTCCAATAGAGTGTTAGAGCAGTGAAAAGTAGAGGTTAGGGAGTCTTGGCTTGAATCCCGACTACGGCCATTACAAGCAACATGACATTGGGCAACTAAGCTTCTGTTAGCCTCAGATTCCTCATCTGTAAAATGGAGATGATAATGCTTATTGAATTATTATAATAAACTTAAATAAAGCAATATACAAGCATTTAGCACAGTAGCTAGCACACTGTAAGATTTTAATAATAATAATAATCATAGTATAAAGTATCATTAATTATTATTATTGAAGTTTATCAAGCCAAGAAAGTTTTAAAATATTAACATAAGGATGTCAGCCCATAATATCTATACATTTAATTTTCAGAATCAAACATAGCACTAATTAGTTAGTATGAACTGAACTGCAACTGGGGGTGTTTCACTGCAACTTGGGAATAAATACATAGAAAAAGCCAGTGATTTTTAAAATTCAGATATTGTTCGCTCAATTTAGAGGAAAAAAACTAATTAATGAAGTCAATTACTGTTATTTGCTTAACATGCTATAAAGTTGATATATTGGTTGAATGGTAGTTGATCACAAGCATTAAATTTGTAAGAGGCCAGTCTTACAGGTACACATATGACTCTGCAGCATTATTGCTAACATTTGTTTTTCCTCTTTCTAAAAGATATATATTAATAGAAGCATAAAAATAGAAAAATTGGGATGCAAATAGCGTAAAGTTTACATGAGTTCTAATGAGATTAAGTACATTTTGTAATTTTCTTAGGAAAAATCCGTCATTATCATTTACATTATCAATGAGCCTAAAAGATTACTAAATAATGAAATTTTGGTGGGTTATCATAACTATAGTCAAAGTAACAAATATTTATGTGGTTATGATATTTGAAATCTATAACTAGAAACATTAATATAATTCTATAATACTGTAATAGCATGTTTTTGGAAATGATAAAAATAATTCTCTAAGAGAAAGTACAAATTATTAAATTCTTTCTAAGGTATGTACTTTTTTTTATTATTATGTTATGCTAATCACCATACATTACATCATTAGTTTTAGATGTAGTGTTCCATGATTCATTGTTTGTGTGGAACACCCAGTGCTCCATGCAGAACTTTAATACCCATCACCAGGCTAACCCATCCCCCCACATCTCTAGAACCCTCAGAGTCCATAGTCTCTCATGGTTCGTCTCCCTCTCCAATTTCCCCAATATTTTTTTTACAAATACTAGATTAAATTGTGAAAATTTTAGAATATCTCAAAAGAGTCCACTTATGGAACATGTACTCAGTTTCTAATAACACTATATTATTAAAAATTATTTTTAGAATATTACAGTTTTAAAAGCTACAAATTGTCTAGTTATTTTTTACTTGAATCTTCAGCTATGTTCCTTTGAACAATATGCCTGTTTTAACACTCTTCTCTTTTGAACAGGTTGTAGGAGGAAAGATGACTGAATCAGGTCGGCTTTGTGCATTTATTACCAAAGTAAAAAAGGGAAGTTTAGCTGATACTGTAGGACATCTTAGACCAGGTAGGTTTCTATCTTTGATTATTTATATTTAAACTGTTAAACTCAAGTAGTTATAAAAAAGTTGTCCTCACTTAGAAATGATTTGACCAAAAACAAGGAACTCATTTTTAACCTAAATAAAAAAAATCTTTATTCTTAATGGCAAGTGTAACTATTATTTCTTGAGTCACATCAGATAGAAAGATTTTTATATTTACTGATTTTTTTTCCTGATGGATATTCTTATTTTGTACCTAGTATTAATCTATTTTGCTTCCCATAAGGCTTTACTTTTCTTTTGAAAAAATTCCAACAGTTTAGGAAACAAACGTTATGGATAAATACATATTTCCTACAATGTGTGACTCCTTATCTCTTTGGTAATGGATACTATTGGAGAGATCCTTGAGTCCCTTGGAGAGAATATGATAAGATGCTAAGCTTTAAACATTTTATAAGAAACTGTAGGGGCATCTGGGTGGTTGGTTAAGTGTCTGTCTTCAGCTTAGGTCATGGTCCCAGGGTCCTGGGATTGAGCCCCGCACAGCATCGAGCTCCCTGCTCACTCAGCAGGGAGTCTGCTTCTCCCTCTCTCCCTCGCTCCCCACCCCCCTCCACTACCCCGCTTGTGCTCTCTCTCACGTGTGCTCTCTCCCAAATAAATAAATAAAATCTAAAAAAAAAAAGAGAAATTTTAGACAAGGTGCTCAGTTGCATATATATTGACAAACCTAGAATATAGTCATAAAATTTTCAAAGAGTTAACAGATTTTAATAATTTCTAGAATTAGATTCCTATTAAGAAACCACAGAGATAACTTTTATGTAACTTTATTCCTCAGACCTTTGTCCTTTTGGGTAAAAGTACTAATCATCCTTACCATCAAATTTTATGCCAATGGAGCTGTTCTCAGTATGTCTTATTCCATAATGGTGACTTTATTCTATTGAGTTCATTGCAGTTTAAGAGTGCTTTGGTTTCAAGTGCATTTTATGGGATTAGTTTTTCTTTCTAAAATTATCATTACTGGAATACACTATAGGTGATGAAGTATTAGAATGGAATGGAAGGTTATTGCAAGGAGCCACATTTGAGGAAGTATATAACATCATTCTGGAATCCAAACCTGAACCACAAGTGGAGCTTCTTGTTTCAAGACCTATTGGGTGAGTCGGTTTGTGTACTTTATGCACATACCTTATAAAGTTGACTACTGTTATACAATTTGTAGTGTGCAATCTAAAAATATCTGATTGCTCCATAAAAATTATTGTTTTGAGGACAGTGCTTCTTTTCTCCTTTTTTGCTAAAACAGCTCACCAAAAATCATGACATTTCTTTATTTGATCATGCTAGAATACACAGTTATTATAAAAGAAGAAGAAATATTTAGGTGTTTATTATTTTTATTGTCTTAGTAGCTTAGTAGGTGGCTAAAGGCATAGTAGGAGAAGGGGACTATAATAACAATTACTTTTAAAAGAAAGTTCATGAACTATGGTCCTCTACATTGTGAAAATGAGGGTCAATGAATTTTACATATTTTTTTTTTCAAAATGGAGATTTCAACATAGGAAAGAGAGGTCCCAAGGACACACTATTCCTAAATAGAGGAACAGTTTAAGGAACAACGTGATGTGTTTAAGGAAACAGAACCAAAGTACTCCTTGGCTTTTGTAATTTTTTGCCTATAGATTAAATTAGCAATTTCCAAAAGTTGACAATAAATATAATCCTTTGTGCTGTATCCTGATAATTTCTCATTAAATATCACAGCAGTGTTTCCCTTATAGAAGCTTATATTCTAGGCCGATGTAAGAGATATACCTATAACTAAGTAAAAGCAACAGAAAAAATATATACAATGACAGCAAATTATTAAGTGCAAGTTTGGGGTAAAAGTATTTGAGGGTAGAAGCTATAAAAATTCTTTTTTTGTTGTAGAGTACCAATGGCCAGTTGTCTTTCACTTAGGAAATGATTGGACTGTATTATTTTGATCTCTTTTTATGTTGGAGAAAATGATTTATGTTGGTAACTTAGTTTTTTTAATTTAATTTTATTTTATTAGGTTATGTTAATCACCATACATTACATCATTAGTTTTTGATGTAGTGTTCCATGATTCATTGTTTGTGTGTAAAAAGTAACTTAGTTTTATTGAAATGTTCCTTTCAAAGTAATGAATCTGGCACACGAAATTGTATCTTTTTCATTTTTCTATTCATAGTTTTGTAATATGGTAAAACTGCTGTGTATCAGCTTAGTATATTAATCAAATATATTTCTTGGTATTAAAGGATCCTCTAATCATATTTTTAATATCTTAAATATTCTTTTATGTACTTTTATGAATGACCTTAACTATTAAAATTTTTTCTACCAATCTTGGCAAATCTCAAACAAAAATGTACATACTTTCGACATAAATGCAGTTACCATTTGTAAGTCCCAATGAAAAACATGTTTGCATTTTTTCCTCAATGGAGTTATTACATTTAAAAAATTTCATTTGCAATCTGAATCTTTAAATTTTTCTTGTGGTGATATTTTATTTATACTTCAATGTTATTGATTAAAGAATAGAATAGAATTAAAATATATCATAAAACCTATCTTTAATTCAAAAATTTATTAGAATGGATGATCATGTAGTAAAGCACATAGAAAATAAAGTATGTTTTTATGAATCTGCTATAAATGCATATGACTGTTTATTCCTTTCTAAGCAGTTGAGGTTAGTTCAGAATACTTTGATTAGCAATAAAGTACTACGTCTTGTTTTCTCTTACTTATATAATGCTACTATCATATACAATTGTGTTCATTTTACACTCTCCTGTTATATATAAGTTGATGATCATCAAAATAGCAGTTGCATTAATTGTTGAAACAATTTCTTGTTCTATCATTTCAGAGATATCCCTAGAATCCCTGATAGCACACATGCACAACTGGAGTCCAGTAAGTCTCATTCATTCTAGAAGAAAATATTAATAGTGTCATTTTTCAGGGGTCAGATGAATTATTTTATCTACTAATATGAAGTAAGAAATAGAATAATCTTGTTACAAATATATAGTTATTATACAAATGAAAAATTTAGTATTATTTCATGTTATTATGGGATAAAATACAAATTCTATAATATTTTAAAGATAGTTTTATTTTAATCACGCCCTCTTAACTGCTACATGTTTTTAGATAGCTTTATTAAGGTACACTACAATACATTGGCCCTAAGTGCACAACAGGGTAAATTTTGATGTACAGATGAAACCATCATCACAATAAAAATAATGAACACACCCATCTCTCCTAAAAGTTTCACCCCCCTCCTTCCTTAATTTCTTCTCATTTTAAAATTTACTACTTTGTAAACTAACCCTCAGTAAGTGGGGTGGGGGGGATCCTTGGGACAATCTAGTGAATAATATCCAAATTTACATTTTTAGAAAATAGGATAGTAGTTCTGATTTGGCATTATAGTAGAGATGGAACAATAGACAAGTAAGTTTAAGTAACGTTAAATACATAGACGCTTTTTATTACTTTTGTTTGAGTGCTATTTCAGATGTTAAACAAAGGGCTTTTTTTCCAGTGAACTAAGTTTCTTGATTGATTGAGAGTAAGGGATATTGTAAAAGAAGAGAGGAGAAGGGTTGCCATTTGAAATATGTTGCTCAGGAGAGACCATACTGAGAAGGAATGATTGGAACGAAGATTTGGAGGAGTGGCTCTCTGGGGGAAAAACTTTCCAGGTACAGGGACCAAGTGGTGCAGAGGTTCTCGGGCAGGAAAGCCTACGATGCACTTGAGGAAAAGCAAGGAGGCCTGTGTTGCTGCACTAGACTGAGCAGCGGGAAGGATGAAGGATAGGGGAGTCCTGGCAGCCAAATTGCATAGAGTTTGTAAACTGCTGTGAAGACTGCTTTGTTTTGGGCTTTTACTCTGTGGGAAATCAGTAGCTACATACGATGGTTTTGAGGAGAGATTTATGTTTTAAAATCTGGCTACTGTGTTGAAAATAGTTTAAATGGAGTCAAGGGTGAAAGCAGAGAGAGTAGTGAGAACTATTTCTATATTTAGTATTTTATATGGTGACTTAGGCTATTGGTGGTAGCAATGAGGTGATGAGAAGTGATCGGATCCTACAATAATTAAGAACATACTATTAAAATAGATTTTTTTACTTTTATATCACAATTACAAGTGTCTTTAAAATCTATACCAGAGAGGTGAAATACTTTGGGAATGGCGTAGCACTATATTTTAAAATATGATCGAATGACTTACTTGATTTAGTACCTTTAGCTACATACTAAATCATTTTATCCAAAATAATACCATGATCACAAAAAAACTATAACAATAAATAAATACAGTTGACCCTTGAATAACATGGGTTTGAACTGCAGGGGTCCACTTATGTACACATTTTTTCAGTAAATACAGTGTATTACTATAAATATATTTTCTCTTCCTTATGATTGTTTAAATAACATTTTCTTTTCTCTAGCTCACTTTACTGTAAGAATACAGTATACAATATATATATAAATGTACAAAATATGTGTTAATCAGCTGTTTGTTGGCGCGTCTTCTGGTCAATAGTAGGCTATTGGTAGTTAAGTTTTGGAGGCATCACAAGTCACTGCGGGTTTTTTTTGACTGTGCGGGGGGTTAGCGCCCTTGACCCTCAGGGTCAACTGTACTGAATAATGATATCATCATCATTATCATCATTGCGCCCATTTTACTGAGTGCCTGGGATTGTGGTTGATGTTGTGCCTACATTATCACACGTATTTCTTACAAGAGTCCAACTTTTATTCACTTAAGTAACATCACTCAGATATTGTATGAGCAGGGTGGAACCCTTTATGTTATTATAGCTATTAAAAAAAATCCCCTGGTCTACAATTTTACAATTGTTTCTGAGGAGATAAGGGTCCTTTATCAAATTAAATTAGAATCAATCCTTTATTCTTTAAATGTTGAAGAATAGGCCCAATTATTAATCTCTGTCCTTAGTTCCTCAGTAAATTCTTCTCATCCTAATGCTTTTAATTGCCACATGACTCCTAGGTTTATAGTACCAAGATGATCTGTCATCATTCCTTTATGCTTGGATGTTTAAATAATATGTTCTGTTAAGTGTCTTCCTGTTACTTGAAGCTTAACGTGTAGAAACTGAGCTTATTTCTTTCCACTTCTAAATATTATATAAGGTACCACTGTATTTCTTTTCTTTTATTTTATTTTATTATGTTATGTTAATCACCGTACCTTACATCATTAGTTTTTGATGTAGTGTTCTATGATTCATTGTTTGTGTATAACACCCAGTGCTCCATTCAGTACGTGCCCTCTTTAATATCCATCACCAGGCTAACCCATCCCTCTAGAACTCTCTGCTACATGTTTTTAGATAGCTTTATTAAGGTACACTACAATGTACCTTACACCACCTCCCACCTCCCCTCTAGAACTCTCAGTTTGTTTCTCAGAGTCCATAGTCTCTCCACTTCTGATCCCAAAGCCTGAAGTTTCCCCCTCAGTTTATACTGTACTCTTCCTAGAGGTGTATTTGATCCTCTAATGGCTCCAACCCAGCAGACACTTTACACTATGATTTCTAACACTAATATCTACTTGACATTTGGTCCCATCCATAGATCCCATTACCTGCTTGACATCTCCCCTTGGATTTCTCAGAGTTACCACGGGGTCACCATGTTACAAAGTAACATCTCCACCCATTCCCTTAAGCACAGGACTATCTCCAGGGTTCCACATCCCAAGGAATATCAGCAGTGTTCTGTGCAGAGAACAAGACAGACCTTAAGGACTTTCTTGATCTCATGTCTGGCTACAAGGCTTGAAATCTTCAAGTTTCCCCTCTTCCCTTTATCTCTCATATCTAATTAGTTTCTGAGTCCTCCTTTGTTTATTTTGTGCTATCACCAGAATTCTTTCTTTCCATTCCATTTTCACAACATTTCCTATTATTGTTTTATTGAATTCCACCTGTTTTTAAGTATTTTCCATCGCTCTTAAATCAATCCATGCTTTAAGTAAGTGATAAAGTCATCTGCAAATGTAGTTATTGCCTCATTCAGAAGAGCTAGCTTTGATAGTCAATTAGTGCCAAAATGTGTAGCCCAGAATTCCAGGCACTTAATTCCCCCCGCTATCCCATTAGCTACATTTTGACTCACTTTCTGAATTGTTCCTTCCCTTCCGCAGAGATAAATTCATACATATCACTTCCGGGTGTTGAGGCTCTGCTTTTTCTGCTCTGCTGTCTCTTTTTTCAAGGACCTTTACTTCCTTTCTGCCTAATTTATTATATTCTTTTCCAGATGTGGTTTGAAATTATCACCTCCCAGAAAGGCTTCATGATTAACATTCTAGTACTTATGTTTTTAGAATTACAAGTTTAGACCATCTTCAAGTTGCTTTATTGGTTTAGGTTTTGATTTTTCCTAAGTTTCTATTTTTAAAACTTTCTTAATATGTTATTAATATTAATATGTTCATAATAAGATATGAATTTAGTATACACATAACAGACCAGGTAACCAAGTCCTGATGTAGAGGTCTGTCTCTACTATAATTGGCAGAGAAAATGTTTCACTCTTGGTCTTAAGAGAATCCCTCAGCTGTACTTATGCTTCAAAAAATAGATGTAAGTTGGGGCACCTGGGTGGCTCAGTCGTTAAGCGTCTGCCTTCGGCTCAGGTCATGATCCTGGGGTCCTGGGATCGAGCTCCACATCAGGCTCCCTGCTTGGCGGGAAGCCTGCTTCTCCCTCTCCTACTCTCCCTGCTTGTGTTCCCTCTCTCACTCTCTCTCTCTCTCTCTCTGTGTCAAATAAATAAAATCTTTTAAAAAAATAGCTGTAAGTATATCTGGAACATTGTGGCTAAGAAAATGGTCTATATAATGACATTTGTGGACATTTTAAATAAATAGATAATTTAAAAGACATATGGTAAAGATTATTAAGTACTAATCAAGAGTCATCATTATTGTTCTTTATGTATAATTACCATTTCAGGTTCTAGCTCTTTTGAATCTCAAAAAATGGATCGCCCTTCTATTTCCGTTACCTCTCCCATGAGTCCTGGCATGTTGAGGGATGTTCCACAATACTTATCTGGACAACTTTCAGTATGTAATCACTACATTAATTTCTCTTTTTGAAATACCAAGTAATGTTATTACCATATGACAATAGCTTTTTGTAAACCAACTTCTTCTTAGAATGTAATTGTGTTTTTAATCATCAGTTTTCTCATTCTAGTAGTTCTGATTAATTGAAATTTAATTTTAATTATTTAGCATAGAGTTTCTTTATTAAAGTATATTAGATTTTCTGGAATTCAGTGAGAGAATTTGTAGAGATATCTAAAACCTTCTTTACCTTAGTAATTTTATTCCAAAATTCAAGGTCATGATATTTGCTCACTATCTTAAAATGACTATAATTTGTCCTAGACTTTTGAGAGCAATCACATTGCAGTACTGTACAAAGATGGTATATTTAAGATGAAAGTAAATTTTATACATTCCCTGCTTTTCAAGTTTAAGGAAATTTGGTATGAATTTCATAGTAAATCATTGGGGTATGAATATTGCTGTAAGTATAATGATATTTGAGAAGCTTTGGTCAACAGACAATACTCAGTAAATGGGGAAATATATAATAGATAACTGAGTATACTGGGTGATTTCATAGTAAGGGATCCCTAATTTGAACACCTTATATAAAAATTAAAAATTCAATTAGGCATTTTCTGTCCATATTAGAAGAGCTTTACAAATTTGAGCCCTCACTTTTTATCAATTTCTTCAGTTGCCATTCTCTTTTTAAACTATTTAAAATATTAAAATATCTAAATTCATCCAGTTGTATTTTAGAAACATCATGTTGATGAGTTACTAAACTTGCAATTTTATATGTATTAAGAACTATTTAGATTCTCAAAATCCAGACATTGAATTTTGGATAAAAAATGTTATAATTGAAAACTAAACTATTCTTGGGCTGATATTTTAAGAGTAATAGAAAAAGCTTTTTGTTTAATCAGCTGTGAAATTTCTCCTTTTATTTTTTGGGGGGTGGGAGAGGTATTTGATTTTTACTGAAGAATTTTTATTAATTAAAAGCTATAGGAAGTATAAGCAGAGCTAACATTAAAATTATTGAAATAGTTCTTAGACATGTCCATTCTGGGACTATTTTGATCACAAAGGTGACAATGACAGAAAAATTATGCAAGAAAGAAGTTGAGATACTATTAGGAGCTTGTAAATGTCTTACTAAAATTGATTTCTTTATTCTTTTCTTTTCCTTTCTTTCATAGAGTGATCTTTTTCATTTGAAGACAGTGGTCTTTCTTTCATTTTCTATAATAAGTAGCATCTTTCTGCTTATTCTTTTACATATATTGTCAGCACGGATGTTGTCACTTATAGTTACAAATGTATGTGTGTTTTCTTACACCATTTTAGAAAGTGCTAATATTAACCTTTTTTATTAAATTATTATGGCTCCATTCAAATAGTCCATCTTTAAATAATGCTTAGGATGGCTGGATGATGCCAGTACATAAATGTGTGTGTGTGTGTGTGTATGTGTGTGTATAGTTGGCTTCAGTTGGTGGAGGAGGGAGTAGAAGTTAGACTTCCATAGTAAGTAAGTATCGCTTTGTTACCGTCTTTGAAATCCCAAGGCCCTGTAGAAATTGGACTGGGGAGGCAGGTGGGGGTTGGGGGGAGATTGAGGAGCCTAATGCAGACATTTAGACAAATTGCAAATTCAGCTATTTTTTTTATCATGGTTCAGAATGAATATACTAGAAAGGTAAGACTTAAATATTTTGGGGAAATAAAAAAAGTTTTACTTCTAAGGGTATAATTAGTGATTTAAAGTAATAGTATATACATTTATAAATGTTGTTAGTTTAAAATCCATGTAATTGTAATTTAAAATGTGTACATCTTATCATTTTCTTATGACTGGGAAGGGGTATGCTCCAGTAAGATAACATTAATAAATACAATACATATTTGTTGTGGTAAATCTAGAGAGTACAGATAAGTAACTAAAAAATAAAAATCACCTATAATCCTACCACTAAAATGTAACTTTTCACATACATACAAGTTTTTAAACAAAAGTGATTAATCTGTGTATAGTATTTTGAGACCTGCTTTTCCACTTCGTAATATATTGTACGCTTTTTTCTTTAAAATTTTTTTCTTTAAATATTTCTCTTTAAATGATTTTAAGAGCTAATATACCATTTTTTAATTTAATTCTCTATTATGGGACATCTTGTTCTTAATTTATAGTACTATAAACAATGATGCCATGGAAATCCTTGAATATAACTCTTACATATTCTGTTAGGTCAGACAAAATTCTTTTGTCAGGATAACTTTTCAGAAGTAAAATTACAATATGAAAGAAAAGAGAAAAAAAATTAAGATTCTTAAAATCTATTGCCAACATTTTCCTCAAAAATGTTTTTATGAAATTAATCTTCAATCATCTATTCAAGATCGCTTCTCTGCCTTTTGGCTAAGATCAAGTGCAGTCATCTATCTATTCAAGAAATATCTGTTAAGTTCTGACCCCAGGTCAGCCATAGTACTAGTTGCCGGGAATACAGCAATGAACAAGACAGACATGGATTTTATCCTCATGAAACTTAATTTTATGTTCGTTCTTTGCATGCAGAAAAAACATGAGCAAGATACCCATCTGATATTATTTCCTTTATATTTAACCCTATTCCTGCCAACTGGAGACAATTTTGGTTTGCTCTAATGATGTAGAGTTTAGGAAATACATCTGCATATATCACCTTTTTGGGAAAATTCCTAGGAAGTCATCAGGCAACATTACAGTTCCTATCTCCTTCTACTTATTTTACCTTTGGGCATTTTTATTTTGGTGAGATTTTACCTGGGCTCATAACTCACTTACAAATTTATGATGTTGCTAATTCCAGGGAACAAAGGTAATTTGTATGGCTTGTGAGCTGACCTCCTAATATATTATGTCAGTTCATGGACTGATATTTTCTCAAATAGAAATATACATATAATTTAAATTGTTGTTTAAACTTTCTTTTAAAGACTATTGATGATTTTAGAAAATTTATGCAGTTTATTTCCTCTTTATGCTTGAATTCTGCTGGCTGCTTGTTATTATCCTAGGGCATAACTGTAAAAGTGCCATGAATACATTTGGTGAGGAACTCAGTATGAGCTCAGGTTTAGGACACCTGGAGTGTGTGTTAGCCTTCTCAGTGCCAACACTCCCTTATTTTGATTCTTTTTCATATTTATGTTCTTCCACAGTTAAACAGTTTCCTTCATCAGAGGATTACTTCTGTAGTTCTTTCATTATTTTTAAATTAATCTGGAGTCTTTGGCTAGTTTTTGATAGAGCATTAAGATAAAATATAGCCTTCAACTCTTTTTAAAAGTGAGAAATGGCTCAAAATTCTTTCTTTCTATAGGAACACATTGATTCTTATTGACAATCATATTTTATTTTACTTCTGAGTCTGTGGTTGATTTACAGCTATAATGTTTCCTCAAGTTACTTTGTTTTAATATTTTTTTGACTCCGTCTTTAGTGATTATTGGTAAATATTGTACATAATCATTTTGTATGCCCTTTTAAGTGGAATAAGTAACTGAAGAATAGGTATGTATCCTTCATATCTCCTTAGAAATTCTATAGCCTTTTTAAACCTTTCTGTAAGTGAAAGTGTTTTCCTTTGAGCTTTTACCTATTATACCTCATCGTCACAACCTTGTGATTCCAGAAGAACTGCATAAAAGGAATGCCTTAAAGATAGACAATAAAAAATGCAAAACAAATTGTGTACCAATTCACTTCTTCATTTGTATGAGGCTGACTTGTTACAGGTTTCATCAGATATTTCCTGTTTAAAATACATGAATTAGTATTAATTACAAATTGCAATGCAGTATATAATACTTCACCATTCCTGTATGAAATATCCAGAATCCATAGAGGCAGAAAGCAGCTTAGTACTTGCCAAGAGTTGGGGCAATAGGAGAATGGGGATTGATTCCTTCATAGGTACAGTATATGGTGGGGTAATAAAAAGTTTTGAAACTAGAGGGAGGTAGTGATTGCACAGCATTGTGAATGTACTAAATGCCACTGAATTGTACGCTTTAAAATGGTTACTTTTATGATATTTGAATGTCATCTCAACTTTAAAAACTAGCAAAACAAACATATGTTTAATGTATAAATTTATGGGTGAAGATTAGGTTTAAATTACCATAGATTGTAGACAACCGATTTCAGAAATCTGTGAGTTGCTTATTTGAGACCATTTTAGAAGATGGAAAATGTTTGCCTTAAAGGACTAATTTATTTCAAAGTGCTGTTTGCTTGAAATTAATTTTTTTTTAGTTTATGAAGTAATACTTACTTGCAACAATCTTCCATTACCTTGTTATTTGGGTCTGAAACAGGCAGAACAGGTGAGAGAGCAAGGAAAATAAAATCTATTTCCAAAGAGAGTATTTTGTTAGTCCCTCTGTTCAGCTTGCCTTGTTAATCTCTATGCATTTCATACATCCCTGGTCCATTTGCTAGAGAAGTATCCACCTAGGATTATGCAGACAGATATCAGTAAATACTCCATACCTAAAGATTTCTTTCTTCCTTTGGAAATGTCTCTACATGAAAAGGAAGACTGCTTAGATTTGAGACTGCCTGGGTTTTTGGAGAGAGAGAAAGATGACTCATATGATTGATACCTGCTTTTAAGGTCTGCTTTCCTTTGGCTTTTAGATTTATGTCTTAAACAATCTCTATCTGATGATAGTTGAATTAGGCAACAGTCCTTCTACTACCTATTATCTGTTTCCTTATAACAGTGGAAAGGTCTGAAACCTCTATTGATAACTCTTTGAATTAGACAAGAGAAACATCCGTGAGAAGTATGAGGAATGGGATGGAATCTTGGTGAAAGAAGCAGAATTAAATGCCTTGAAATCCATCCCCAAACCCAGAGATATGCATCTGATTTTGTTCCTGATTTAACCATTGGCATGCCTTAATAAAGGCACAAAATTCTGATTATCGTGGTGTCTTTTGGAAACTGTTTCAAAGTGAATACAGCATAACCCAGAAGAGAAAGAAAATTTGATTTTATTCTGAGAATTTGAAATAGAATGCCTTCATCAGAACTGGGCTTCCTTTTCTTTTCTTTTTTCTTTTCTTTTCTTTTCTTTTCTTTTCTTTCCTTTCCTTTCCTTTCCTTTCCTCTTCTCTTGTTTTGTTTTGTTTTGTTTTTTAGAACCCAGCTTTATTTTCTGTCTTTACACTATCTTACTTTTTGTTTGAGTATGGGCAACTGTATGCACCCCTTTTCTGTCTCTGTTTCCTCATCTTGAATTAGACATAATAGCAACTACCTCCTACTGTTGTTGGAGGCAATGAACTTGCAATAAATTGTCAGTACAAGCTTGGAAATATATAAAGTACTATATAAACAAAAAGAAATGAGGTATTATCATTAATAAGTGTTATTAGCAATAAACAGTGTTATCTTGAGTGGTACCTAATAAATGTTTAAAAATGGTGTTTAAATACTAGAATCTGGTATCAATTCTTAAGATATAAATCAACTAGTCTAGTGCCTTCTGCACACTTTTATCTTACTGTGTTTATTCTTTTAAGAAATGCTAAAACCAACTTGGCTAATGTTTTTTAAACTTTTGTTAGATAAATTTTGGAGAAGTCATACAGTTCTACAAATAACTTTTCACTAAAATTCTATGATGCATTTTCATGTAACGTCTTCTTGGACTATGATTTTTTCCTATGGTAGTGTGTTTAAGGGTGAAACCTGAAATTTCTTGACTCTTGGATTATGTTTATACTCATTTTTTCAGAGTACATGAGCCCAAAAGTGTAACTTTACATTCAGTCTTAATTCTTGTTATGTTGATTACATTTAAAAATTCTAAGATTTTATATAGTTTTTATATGTTTTAACATTTTGGCAAAATTAACTTATTGAAGTACTTAATTTAGATATATATCGTTATGGAAAAAGTATATTTAAGGGATAGTTTTATGTGTTTATTTTACTTTTGGTCTTTTAGTTCCAGCGTGTTGTCCTTTTTGGTTTTGTTTTATTGCTTTTTTCTTTAATTTTGCTTACCAGAGCCAAAGCCTTAGTAGAAGAACAACGCCTTTTGTTCCTAGGGTTCAGGTAAAGGCCTTGTCTGCCTGATAGAAACTAAAGTTGTGTTTTAACCCTTATTTGTATGTTTTTGGAAAATGCGTAGTAGGAAACTTTTTTTGGTATGTTGCTCCAAACCATATTATTGACTTTCAAATCATTTTATAAGCCAGCTTGTAAAATTCTGCATGGGGATTAAAATACAATAAAAATTTAAAGAGACAATCTTTGTTAGTGATTTTATATGATGAACCGAATACTAAAACTGATAGGCTTCAGACTGTACATATATATGTACATATATATATGTACATATATATATATATATATAACATTGACAAAAATAGCTAATTTTATACTGTTGATATTATCCTTTATTACACTAAGGTTGCTGTCTCTTTAAATAATTCATTATATCACTTAACATCTACATTCTCTTGCATTTTCCAAGCAACAACTCCTTGAGGAGATTGGCAAATAAATTTGTACCTTATCTAAAATATGAATTTTATGCATATTATATATAAGGTTCAACTTTGGAAAGTGTATTACTTTGAAAGAACAAAATAACAATCTAAATAAAATGTGTTGGGTTTATTTATGTTGTTTACATTTTGTAATTGAAATGTCGTTTAATTTTACTGTAATACTTGGTACAAGTTGTTTGCCTCTTTTCATTAGGAAACCCTTATATGGTAAAGTAATGACAATATAGTTTTTTTTTTTTTTAAGTAGTAGTATGCTTTCCTTGCTTTGCTGCATGTTTTTTTTTTGTTGGCTTTGAATAATACTAATTTAGTTTAAATTTTAAAAATTGCACTTGTTTTAGTTAATGTTATTTAGAGTTAAATATTTACTTGTGCTGTTCAGTTCTCCTTAGGAAATTTAAGAATGGGTACATGGTAAAGCTGGAATGATTGTTATATTAAAACAATCAAAATGATGCCAGGATTTCTATTAATGAAATAGAGCTAAAATAAGAAGTATGTCATATCTAGAATTGTGGAGATACATTTGTTATATTTTGGGGAAATCAACATATTTTTAACCATTCATTTGAAAAGCACAGATAAGAAATTTAGGAATGTGATAAAATAATCTAGCTAAGATAATTCTGTTTTGATAAGGTGAACTGGATATCTATTAAAAACTTCAATGCAAGTCCTGTAATATAAAATGAAAATTAGGGCTATTGATCAAATGCCTAATTTAAGACAGTTTATTAAAAGTTGTAATTTTGATTAAAAAATCAGTAAAATTAAAAAGTGCCTGTTTTTTAATCTATATTAACATTTATATATTTGGAAAGTATGATTTAATAGACTGTAAAGTATAATTGTGAAAATATGAAGGCCATATGCCTAATACCTGTTTGCATGAAAAATGAATATTATTGACAAATGATATTTTTGGTTTTCTATGGCATAAGAAATCTAAAAAGAATACTCCTTATCAAACATTAGAAGTTATGTATCTGAAATGTTTCTCTTTAACAATTTTAGAGGAGCAAAAAGATCGCCTGTGGAGATGGCAAGTGCTTAGTTTCATCCCTCAAAAAAATGGGCAGAAATCAGTGATTTTCTCGAATAATTATGAGCGTAGTCTAATAATAATTACTATTGTTTGTGTAAAGTTTATCAGAAATTTTTTCTTTAGCCTTTCAGAATCTTTTTCTCTTTGAAGTGCCTAATAGTCATGTCATGATCCTCAGAGAAGGATTTTTAATATCATGGGAAAATAAAGCCATAAGCTTTTATTGCTATAGAAAATAGAGAATATCAGAAATTAATATGGTTTTGGTGACACATTTTAGAGGAACCATGATGCTATCTGACAACATCTCTGTTTCATCTCATATACAAGACATTCTTGTATTTCTTACTTTTGTTGTTGTTTTCCCCTTATGTCTTTTGCCAGAAGAATAGTTTCTTTTTTCCACTTACCCTCATCTGTATCTATGTTCTCATATTGTTACACAAGGAAATATTTGAACTTCTTTTCTATTTGCATGTTAGAGTCTTTTTTTTTTCCAGGTTGTTGATCCCCTAGTTTAAGGCCGTGATTCTCAAACTTTAATGCCTATGAGAATCACCAGGAGGATTTGTTAAAATGCGAGTTCCTGGGCCCCATTCTGATACAGTAGGTGAGAGGTGGGCCACAGGAACTTTTTTACAAATAAGCCAGATAACACTGATATAAGGAGGTTAGGGAACCACACTTTAAGAAAAACTTGTCTAGAGACCATACCTGGCAGCTCTATTAGGAAAACTTTGTTACACAACAGCAAGATAATACCTGCATTAAACATAAGGACTTAGTACAACATAAGGAGTAATAATTATAGTTTTTAAAAATTAAATTTTCTTACTATTACTAAGAGGGCTAATTTCATTTGAGTGAAAAGCAGAATAAATAATTTTATGTACTCTTCTGGGCCATAAGTCTTCCTCTCCTGAGTCAAAGTCTTGCTCAGCCTCTCATTCTCTAAAATATGAAGTGAGGGACACAACAAAACCATGCTAGAAATGGAACTGCACTACCAGTATATCATATATACATGCATATATATTTATTTTATATGATTTATATATATATATGTATATATATACACTTCAGGAGGAGAGGGAAGGACTGACATGAGATATATATTTAAATTTTTTAAACTCCTGCAAATATTGTACATCCAAATTAAAGGAAAAATTAAACTATTAAAAAGCATATAAGCCCCGAAACTATATATAAACCATAATTTTATTCCCAAATTTCATGTTTTGGATTCAATATCAAGATAGTGGTCAAAGATGTGCTGAGTTCTGAGCCAAAATGTGGGATAGAGCCACAGTTATAAATCCTGACATGGTAGAAACAGCTAGCTAGGTGTGGGAGTGTGAGGTATGTGTGTGGGAGGTGATAATTGTTAAATCAAATGAATTTAGCAGCTGGATGTGAAGTTCTAATCCCTAATTATGTCATGGGGAAATTACTCACATTTTCTCAACTCCAGTGATAAAATATACCCTGTTATTCTAAGGATGTGATACATCTTCCTCACTAATGAAAAAGGGACTTTATATCTGTGTAAGAAAAATCTATAAAGATGAATTTATTATGGTTTTAAATACAAACTTAAGGAGTCTATTGACTAAAGCTGCTAATAATTTCACCTTGCTTATAATCTTTGAAATTTCTTTTAAATGAAATGTTTTGTCTTTTAAAACATTTGCTTAAAAATTCCCTATGAATGCCATATAAATAAGGTATCTATTCAATTCATTTGAGCAATTATTTTGAACTCATAATTGTAGGGGAACTAAAATGAACCACAGTGATTCTTTCATAAAGATAGACACAGAGCAGTCATTGTATATAAAGTTCTTAGTTATGGCAGTATAATTATTACATGCATGTTAATAAGCAATCAAATTAGGATAACAAAAAGCTCAAGTGATGTATCAGTCAACCCAAAATATCTGAATTATTTCCTCTATTCATTGAAGTTATTATAGCATATCCTTTTATTTTAACTATCTGCAACTTGCTAGTAGAACTTACATTCTGTGCTCACATTACTGTAAGAGAATGGGGCAAAGATTGGAAATATAAACATTATGGTATGGCAATAAAAGTTTGAGCTGATAAATGAATATTTTTGCTTTTCAGATAAAACTGTGGTTTGACAAGGTTGGTCATCAATTAATAGTTACAATTTTGGGAGCAAAGGATCTCCCTTCCAGGGAAGATGGGAGGCCAAGGAATCCTTATGTTAAAATTTACTTTCTTCCAGACAGAAGGTAGGGATGTGAAACAAAAATAAATGTTCTTGAAAATATATAAAAAATGTTAATAACAGTGGGTGTTTCAATTCTGTCTTATTTATTTTTATGTATCATGAGAGTCAGATATTTATGAAGTTTAACATAAGCATAATGATTCATATTATTCATATGATTCATATTACTCATATGATTCATATTAGTCTTCAAAACAGTGACAGTAAATGCTTCAAGATTGTTTTAAAACATATATCAAATGTTATAATATAGATGATTTTTTTGAATATTTATTTTACATTGTATGGATTCTTAAATGATATATATTTTCATTTATCAAAATCATTAAAAATTACACTTTTTAAAATCAAGTGCATTTTTAGCACAATCTACAGAAGCAAAAAGCTGGAAATGATACTGAAAGGTATTCATCATATTCCTTTACGACTTCTACCTCCTCATACTAAGATATCATTTCTTTATATTCCATAAAATTAATGAGTGTTTTATGTTTCACCACACCATATCATCCAGGAAACTTTACCACGGGGCCCAGAATCAGCTTCTTCAAGCATCATTGGTTTGTGTCCATGCTAACTAGCATAAATGATATTGTTCTGCCCTAATTTAAACAGAGGAATTAGGATTGGAGAAGAGCTTTTCAAAAATTGTCTAATCGTTTTTAATTTCTGGAACATAAATAAGACTATTGAATAGACATCATGAAAAAAGAAAGAATTAATGGCACCATTTACCTTTTCCCCAGCTGTTCTGCATCCCTGGTTTGCAGGACAGAGTGCTTTCAAGGTCTGGTCATTTTTTCTCAGGCTGGAAGTGGCCAGGCACAGATGTGATCTTCAACACGTTTACACACTTCTGGACCCTCATGTACTTAGTTCAAGTTGAAAATCATCAGATTTGAGTGCCCAAGTATCATCTGAAGAACAATATCTCAAAGAAAAGGAGAAAAGAAAGGAAGTAGACCATTAACAAAGGCCTTACATTTTATGTGATACCTGTTTTGAAGTGAAATTTGTGAAGAAAATTCCTCAGAGAATATGTCAAGGTGCTATCACATCTAAAGTGATTAGAAACTATTTGCCATATAATTTTATCTTACAAAGTTTGCTTGAAGAAAAGTTGTTTTCTCACAACTTAGGTTGTCTTTTGGATAGGGATATACTTTGAACTGCAACGGAAGAGGATATTCATAACTGGGGCTTTTACCTAGCTTAAATTTTAGTTGGATGACAGATTTCATAGGCACATTACCCTGCCATCCTGGAGGCCACATCACCTGGCTTCTTAGAGCACACGTGGTTTCTAGTGCAAGCATTCTTAGAATGCCATCCTAACAACCGGCATGACATGCTGCCTTCCCACCTATGTGCTTATGTGTACATAGAGCTTAAGTTTCTACTCACTCAAATCTTTGAAGAAAGATACTTTTGAAGATGATAAAAGTCTTTCAAATTATGGAATTTATTATTTGATTGACTCTTTTTGTTTAGTTTTATTTTCTTTTACATACCCTCTCCCCCTTTCTGAGCAGATAGATCTCAAATGGAAAGGAAGGTCCCCTTCACCACTCCTTTATGTTTTAAATGTAGTGTTTTTTATCTTTTCTCAGTACCAAAGAATATGGGAAACACTTAAATATTTCATTCTCAAATTATTTCCAGCTGTTTTCTTGTCTAGTATCAGGAATTTGAAGAATATTTAAGCAAGTTTGTTGCTTAGTTTATTGATTGATAAAGTTGTGTTGGGGTTTATCTTTATTTATTGGAAAGAGAGAGTGAGTGAGAGAGCACATGAGCGGAGGGAGAGGGAGAAGCAGATTCCCTGCTGAGCAGGGAGCTGGACATGGGACTTGATCCCAGGACCCTGAGAGCATGACCGGAGCTGAAGGCAGATGCTTAACCGACTGAGCCACCCAGGAACCCCAGGGTTTTTTATCTTTAAAAGAGAAAAGAATTCTTTGGTTAACTCAGAAACAGCTACATTATCATCAGTTTTTTTTTTTTCCTGTTGATACAAGTTTTTACACATGCATAAAGGACTATTTATGCTTTTGGTATGAATTATTCCATTTTTATTGAGTTTTTCTGGGAGAAAAACTATTTGAATAGGTGAATGTAGAAAATAATTGATGCCTTTTTATCGTTAAGAATTCCTGGAGGGACACGTGAGACTGCATTGAAGAGATTTAGACTGGAACGTCACTGTGTTAGTCAATCCATTCAAAACGTTATTTTCTAAGTAATGAACTATGTACTCTAAAAAACAGCTGGGTGTGCTTTCCACTCTTTTATATCTTGAAGTAAAGTTGGTTTTCAGTCAAAATACATTTCTTTCTCTCATTTTGAGTGAACACATCAAGTCTTTGCATACAGTTACTCTAGTAAATTAAATGGAAACCAAAAATACTGGTAGCATGAAAATACATAGAAAAGACTTTAGGTTAGATTTTATTTAAAAAAATAGTTTCCATTCTTAACAGGTAAATGATGCTGTTAGAGATCAATGATTTATTTTATTGCCGTTGGGCTGCTATTAAAAAAAAATCTCAACAGTATGCGTATTGATCTTAGTTTTTAAATACTCTTAGCAACTTTTCAGTGTTTGACTTATACAACCTGATCTTATTTTGTTTCTTTGTTTTTTTTATTTTATTATGTTATGTTAATCACCATACATTACATCATTAGTTTTTGATGTAGTGTTCCATGATTCATTGTTTGCATATAACACCCAGTGCTCCATTCAGTACGTGCCCTCTTTAATACCCATCACCAGGCTAACCCATCCCCTCACCCCCCTCCCCTCTAGAACCCTCAGTTTGTTTCTCAGAGTCCATAGTCTGTCATGGTTTGTCTCCCCCTCCGATTTATCCCCCTTCATTTTTCCCTTCCTGCTATCTTCTTCTTCTTCTTTTTTAACATATAATGTATTATTTGTTTCAGAGATACAGGTCTGTGATTCAACAGTCTTACACAATTCACAGCGCTCACCGTAGCACATACCCTCGCCAATGTCTATGTTTGTTTTACGATTTTATTTTTAAGTAATCTGTATACCCAACATGGGGCTCGAACTCACAACCCCGAGATCAAGAGTTGCATGTTCCACTGACTGAGCTGCCCCCCCTTTTAACCTGATGTTATTTTGAAGGTTTTTGTTATACTTCTTTTTTTTTTTTTTTAAAGATTTTATTTATTTATTTGAGAGAGAGAATGAGAGACAGAGAGCACGAGAGGGAAGCGGGTCAGAGGGAGAAGCAGACCCCCCCGCTGAGCAGGGAGCCCGATGTGGGACTCGATCCCGGGACTCCAGGATCATGACCTGAGCCGAAGGCAGTCGCTTAACCAACTGAGCCACCCAGGCGCCCCTTTGTTATACTTCTAAAATAAAAACTCATGTGCTTTTTTTTTTAACTTGCTGAAGATAATTTTTCATGGTTCTTTGCATGGATTGGTGGTTCAGTACACACTAAATTACCTTATTAAATGTTAATTGTACATGGTGGATGTGCTCGGAATTTCAGTGATTATCTACTCTCCCTCCTACCCAGTATAGAAATCCCTTCTGAAATAGTCCTCTTTATCTGAGAACTTTTTTCACTCCTTAAGAGGAAGTCAAGGTTTATTCTTCTATTCCCTTTCGGATTGCAGTATAAACCATTGTTGAATTATGCAACAAGGCTCCCACTAAATGCTTTCTTCCTGGCTTTAAAGGAGGGAACTTTCTCTCTTCACAGGGTCTCATAATTAATTTTTTAAAGTGTGGAATATACATAGATGCTTTATAAATATTTGCGAAAATTTTAGATGAAGAGAGGAGATGACAGGAGTAAGAAATCATAATCCTTGTTATTATTTCTATTATTTAGTTATTTTTATTTATAATGCCACATTTCCATAACATGGAATAGAGTTAAAATTTCCTACATGTGTTTGCAAAGTTATTTTCCTAACAAGACCATAGAAATTAATAAAGATACATTGTTTTAAACTGGCTTTCTGCCACATTAAATATATGAGCTCTGGAAACATATGTGCTCTTGATTAGTTAAATCCAATCTGTATTGAGCATTACAGCTTGTATTTACCTAAGAGAAGAAGTTGCATAGCCTCCCCAATCCAGAGACACCCTGTCCTTTCTTAGTTCTCCCTGCTTCCTATATTCCAACAGTCTTAGAATTGTGTTGTGCTGAGGGAATTTGTGGCAGTTAATACGGTTCTTCTCAGAGGTTATGGTCCACTTCTCACTTCAAATAAGCTCTCTAGATAGCTTAACGTTTTCTTCCTAGATGATTTTCTTTATTCCTATCTAGCCATTGATCCTGTCTAATAAGCTAGAGTAGTGATCTCCAAAAGGAATGGATGCACCCAGGGGATGTCTAAGACAATCCATTGGAGTTCAGGAAGAAATATTTGAATTTTCTAAATTTTTACCTAATTATTTTTAATTTCTAATTTTGTATACTCACAAATTCACACAATATATTAGTACAATAGTACAGTAATACACGTATATATTTCATAAATATATATGCATATAATGGGATGCTTTGTCAAAAACATTCACTTGATAGAAATATGCAGTCAAAAAAAGTACAGAAGCCTCTGAGCTGGAAACCCCATCTATTAGGATGGCCAGCTTGCATTTCCAGCCCACATTATAGTGGTGACCTCACATAGAAATAATTTTACAGGGGCGCCTGGGTGGCTCAGTCAGTTAAGCATCTGACTCTTCGGGGACCTTGTGCGCTGGTGGTAGGAATATAAATTGGTGCAGCCATTATGGAAAACAGTATAGTGGTTCCTCAAAAAGTTAAAAATACAGGGCACCTGGGTGGCTCAGTCGGTTAAGCAGCTGATTCTTGATTTCAGCCCAGGTCATGATCTCAGGGTCCTGAGATGGAGCCCTGTGTGGAGCCCTATGGGGTGTGAAGCCTGCTTAAGGTTCTCTCTCTCCCTCTACCCCTCCCCCACCCTCTCTAAAAAAAGAAAAAAAAAGAAATAATTTTACAGTGCTTTTAAAGACCTGATAACTCTCAAATGGACAAGTATGTATTTCTTTATGCAAGAAAGTAACTTGATAAAATGTAATTATAATTGCTCAGCTGAACTATATGGATAAAAAGTAAACATCACAATTTATTGGACTTTTGTGCAATTACACTTCTGTAGTTTAAGTGAGCAGCATATGTAATGTTATTGGTTCATTGCCATTTTGAAGGTTCCCAATAGGGCAATATGTATTATAGAGTTAATATTCTTCAGTCTGGTTTTATTTAGATTTTGAGAAAGATAAAGTTTTTAATTATCATGGAAGGATTTCAGATTTATTGAAATATTGCCTTATGGAGCACTGGGTGTTATGCGCAAACAATCATGGAACACCACATCAAAAACTAATGATGTACTGTATGGTGACTAACATAACTTAATAAAATTTTAAAAAAAGAAATATTGCCTTTATAAAGTGATGTAATTATATCCTTATAAATTTTAGTAGGAATTTAAATGATTATAATATTTATAATGTATGATAAATTGTGGTAAAATTTCACTCCCTGCCTGAGAAATTTTAAATGAATAATTTTTAGGGCAAAACTTAAAGGTTTAAGTTCATATGTTCTTATCTTTTTTATAGTGATAAAAACAAGAGAAGAACTAAGACAGTAAAGAAAACATTGGAACCCAAATGGAACCAAACATTCATTTATTCCCCAGTCCACCGAAGAGAATTTAGGGAACGAATGCTAGAGATTACTCTCTGGGATCAAGCTCGAGTTCGAGAGGAAGAAAGTGAATTCTTAGGAGAGGTATCTGGAATTTTAAAGCTGAGACTATTCATGTCCTCTTAAGTACTTTTCTTTATGTGATTATCAGTAAAATCTTATATTTTGAATATCTGGAAAAGTAAACAGTTTCTTTCATGGAATATATTTAGCTACTGCTTCAAGACAAAACATTGATGCCATAAAAAATGGCTTCTAAATAATCTGTGACAATTTTTAGATGTTTATTCCTATTGTAGAAATCTCAGTGTTGATGCTGAAAGGTTGGTTTGTGTTTCACAAATGTATTGTATTTGTGGCAGTTAATACAGTTCTGTTTAGCTCCCAGAGCTAAATAGTGATTTATCATTACACAGCAGTTCTCATATACATAATCACGAACACTATCATGTTTGCACAGGACCCTAAAAGGAAATAAAAGATTCATTTATTCCTGTGGGCTGATTTCCTTTGTAAATTTATTAAATATTCATATTATAAAATCCATATTATGATATGGTTCATATTAAAAATCTATTCTTCACTTTCTTTCCCGTTTTGAATTCCTAGTGGCATGATATGTAGAACACAAGAGTTTTAAATAAGACAGACTTTGATTCATATTAAACCTTTTTCACTTACCAGTTAGTTTGAGCTTAGACAAGTTCTTTTAACCTTTGTTAGCCTTGGTATCCTTATCTGTAAAAGTTGAATAAGACCAATCTAGCAGTTTCTTTCTGAGAATTAAGATAATATATGACATCGTTCTTAACATACAGTAGACACTTCTAATTTGGTTTTGTCTCCCCATTTAAGAATTTTTGTAAAGGTTAAATTAAATGTAAATAAAAATGTTTTTTAAATTATCAAATGATATACAGATATTAGTTATTACAGACTTGCAGTAATAAGCATTATTTCTGTAATGGGAAAACTGCATTTCCCTGATGATTAGTGATGTTGAGCATCTGTTTATGTGTCTATTGGCCATCTGTATGTCTTCCATGGAAAAATGTCTGCTCCTGTCTTCTGCCCATTTTTTAAATTGGATTATTTGGGTTTTTTGGTGTTGAATTACATAAGTTCTTTATATATTTTTGATATTAATCCCTTGCTGCATATATCATTTGCAAATATCTTCTCCTGTTCAGTGGGTTGCCTTGTTGTTTTGTTGAATGTTTCCTTTGTTGTGAAAAAGCTTTCTGTTTTAATGTAGTCCCAATAGTTTATTTTTGCTTTTGTTTCTCTTACCTTAGGAGACAATATTTAGAAAAATGTTGCTATGGCCCATGTCAGAGAAATTACTGCCCATGCTCTCCTCTAGGATTTTTATGGTTTCAGGTCTCATTTAAGTCTTTAACCCATTTTGATTTTGTATATGGTGTAAGAAAGTGGTCCAGTTTCATTCTTCTCATGTAGATGTCCAGTTTTTCCAACATCATTTGTTGAAGAGACTTTATTTTTCCCATTATATATTCTTGCTTCCTTTGTTGAAGATTAACTGACCATATAATTGTGGGTTGATTTCTGGACTCTCCATTCTGTTCCATTGATCTATGTATCTATTTTTGTGCCAGCACCATACTGTTTTGATTACCGTATCTTGAAATCTGGGATTTGATACCTCTATTTTTGTTTTTCTTTTTCAAGATTGTTTTGGCTATTTGGAGTCTTCTGTGGTTCCATATAAATTTTAGGATGATTTGTTCTAGTTCTTTGAAAAATGTTGTTGGTATTTTGATAGAGTTGCGTTAAATCTATAGATTGCTTTAGGAATATGCATGTTTTAATAATAATCTTCCAATGCACGAGCATGGAATATCTTCCCATTTGTTTGTGTCATCTTCAATTTCTTTCATCAGTGTTTTACAGTTTTCAGAGTACAGGTCTTTCACCTCCTTGGTTAAGTTTATTCCTAGGTATTTTTTTATTTTTTGTGCCATTGTAAATAGGATTGTTTTCTTAATTTCTCTTTCTGCTACTTCATTATTAGTGTGTAGAAATGTACCAGATTTCTGTATTTTGATTTTGTATCCTATGACCTTACTGAATTTATCAGTTCTAGTATTTTTTTGTTAGTCCTTAGGATTATCTATATATAGTATCATGTCATCTGCAAATAGTGAAAATTTTGCTTCTTCCTTACCAATTTGGATGCCTTTTATTTCTTTTTCTTGACTGATTGCTATGGCTAGGACTTCTAGTACTATGTTGAATAACAGTGGTGAGAGTGGACATCTTTGTCTTTTTTCTAATCTTACAGGAAAAGTTTTCAGTTTTTCACTTTTGAATATGATGTTAGCTGTAGGTTTTTCATATATGGCCTTTGTTATGTTGAGGTATGTTCCCTCTAAACCTACTTTTTTAGGGTTTTTATCATGAATGTACTTTGTCAAATGCTTTTCTGCATCTACTGAAATGATCGTATGGTTTTTTTCCTTTCTCTTATTGATATGATGTATCACATTGATAGATTTGTGTATATTGAACTACCCTGCATACCAGGAATAAATCCCACTTGATTGTGGTGAATGATTTTTTAATGTATTTTTGGATTTGGTTTGCTAATATTTTATTGAGAATTTTTGCATCTGTGTTTATCAGAGATATTGGCCTGTAGTTTTTTTTTTTTTTTTTTTGTAGTGTCTTTATGTAATGGCAAATTTAACAGTAGGTGGGTGGTCAGAGGTCTATAAAATATCTAGATATTTAAAATTATTAAGTCAATAAGAAGTTATGCATATTTATCTTTTATTTAGTTATTGTCAAAACATATGGACAATTTTGTAACATGACATTGCTTTTGACCTAACAACATTATTATTATAATTATCATTATTATAAAAGTTATGAGACCATTTAAGGGAGTTTCTATATTGTAGATATATAATCTTCTTTTGTCTCTTGATTTTGTAGATTTTAATTGAATTAGAAACAGCATTATTAGATGATGAGCCACATTGGTACAAACTTCAGACCCATGATGTTTCTTCATTACCACTTCCCCACCCTTCTCCATATATGCCGCGACGACAGCTCCATGGAGAAAGCCCAACAAGGAGGTTGCAAAGTAAGTTTTCAGTGAGATTTATCAGACCTTTATTGAATTATGTTAAACGATATATATGTCATAGAATTTGAAGATCCCATTATGGGTATTAACAAGCATCTATTAATGTTTTCATAGCTATTGATGGTTTTAAATTGATACACTAAAATGAGGTTATATTTATAGCATTCATTTATCACAGTATGACCCCAAATGAAACACAGTTATGTTTTAATTTTGGCTATTGGAAACATGTCAGAATGAGAAAGCAGCTATAGTAAAATTTGGTCATGTAGCTATACATATCTGAAATTATGATTTCCATCTTCATTATGCCAAGTATTTTATAAATATGGAGGATGGCAAGTATAGCATAGTGGTTGAAACCATGACCATGAGCATTAGTCAAACAAACATGGGTTTAGAATTTGATTCTCTCACTTAAGAGCCATATGACTTCAGGTAGGTTTTCTCTCTATGATTCACTTTCCTCATTATTTCCTCAGGAAATAATACCTACATTAAGGGTGGTTATAAAAGTTAAATATTCTCAGGAATATAAACTGATGTGATTATTGTTGTTGTTATTATTATCATCATCAGTGTTTGCATTTTACCCTGAATTATACATAGTCCAAAGTATCAAGTAGAATTTGATCAATTCAGAGAATATTAAAAGAAACTTGGAAATGTTTTCTAGACTGAAAAGTGGCATTATTGGTTTGTTGTTCCTGCGAATCTAATTTGTTTTCTTGATGTGTCTATTATAAAGGGGGGGGGTTGTCTGTTCGCTTCTTTGTGTAGCGTTCATGGGATAATTTTATCTTCATGGAGTCAGCACGTTCCAGGCTTAGCAACATTTTTTTTGTGAAGTAATGGAGAATTGATTGACATTAAACAAATTGCAGAAGTGTAAATTTATAAGCACAAAAGCCATGTCATTTATCAATCATGGGAAATATATTTGGCAACATAACAAATGACTGTTGTCTACATGGATCACAATCTCCCTGCTGAATAGAGGACTAAATTATATATCAGAAGGCTATTTGATGAATAGAGAATTAGAGCAAAGGATAGGTCTTATGGGATATTTAGTCATAGGAAAGCCTAGAGAATTACCTTCACTCCTTTTTAAAATAATGTCTCTGATGACTAGAATTTTATTTTCACTAGCTACAGTCTTTTATACTTGGGTGGTGTTATTTAAACACTAATTTTACAGCACTCACTTTTTTCAGCTTCTCCACAGAGTAAACATTTACCCACCGTTATTTGCATTGGCCTTAACATCATTTTTTGTTGTAGTAATTACACTACTATGAATTTTATGTAGACTCATTTAGTGTCTATTCTTTCGGGTCACTGTAATCTACTAAGTCATTCTCTCTAAATCACAATGTAGGATCATGGGTTAGAACATGAAGTTTACTAATGTAAATCAATTTGTACTAATTCTTATAGCTTAAGTTTATAGCTTAAGTTTACTAATGTACATCAATTTGTACTAATTCTTATAGCTAATGCTAATACTTATTCTAGTTGCTATTATAATAACTAGTTTTGATGACTTTTAATATCTGAAACTCTTAAATCTACCAACAATTTTCATTACTTTTTTCCTCCCCAGTGAATTAAGAATAGTGTATGTGAAGAACAATGAGAATAGAGTTCTTTCTAGTTAGCTACATGTATCATAGATTTTCATGCAATTAATTTGACTTAGTCGAGTTTGTAGCTTTTAATATTTAATCATCCCCCAAATGGCTCCTCTGCTACTTAATCATTAATAGTATTAAATTCATTCATGGGTAATATGGTTTCATGTTGCACCATTCAGTCTTGTCACTACCTACCAACTAACCTCTAATAAATAGATTTTCAATATTTGAACATATGGGAAAAATTGGTGTTTTACATCTAAAATGTAATCATAATTTATTAGCAATGTGTAGGACTGAAGATAAGTAAAAATATGTACATATGCATAAAGGAAATGAAGATTAGGAAATAACACTTAGAAATAGTTAGAAAGTTAAAGACATGGGATATATTGTTCATCAATGTTGAGCATTTAATATTTTCTTAATTCTTTTTGAGATAGAAGTCCAGGCAACCTTGATTATAAGGTTTGAATGGTTTCCCCAGTAAAGGAATTAGTGAAAGTATTTGAAATAGATGGCTTCTTCTTACACCAGTATTTCTGTATGTGGCAAAATAAGAGGGTTCTTTGTCAAGTTAAGACATGTATAAATAAACATTAATTACTTTAAAAATTCATTCATAAGAATGACCTCCTTCAAGGTTTTTTTTTTCATGGAGAGAGTAAATATTGCATTTATTTATAAGTATGTCTTATTTGGTAAAAAATCATGGTTATTAACATATTTGATGGAACATATGCATGAACAGTTATCATCAAAAATATATAATAATCCCTCATTTATCCTCTACATCTGCATAATAGAATATGTTGGTAATTCAATCTCTGAGGCCATGAGCTGAGGCTATGAGCTTATTGAATATATATGGGTATTTACTGGTATTGTTGGAATTCTGTTTTCTCTGCTCATGATTTCCTATTTTAAATTTGTAGATTCAAATGATTCAAAAAAGTACTTCATTTCCATGGAAATTTGTAATTTATAATTTTAAACATGTAAGGAAATATTTTAAAAACCACTCTAATAATAATTATTTCATATATCTTATAGCTAACTTTAATATTTTCTTAATTCTTTTTGAGATAGAAGTCCAGGCAACCTTGATTATAAGGTTTGAATGGTTTCCCTAGTAAAGGAATTAGTGAAAGTATTTGAAATAGATGGCTTCTTCTTACACCAGTATTTCTGTATGTGGCAAAATAAGAGGGTTCTATGTATTAAAACATCTCTAGAAAGGGCCACTTGCTCATTGCTCATGTCTGAAAGAAATTAGGTTATGAGAAATTAAAATTTTAATATGAAAGTAATATTTTCTACAATTTTTAACTTCAGTCTACATTTACCACTCCTATCCCAGATATTATTTAGACATTACCAAATGATGGGACCGTGCATATTTCAAAGAGTGATTGATTAAGCATTTTTAAAAAGATGTAAGCAAGATTGGAACCGTATGTTCAAATAACTAAAATTTATCAATAGAGAAGTGAGATTGCTTTTTTAGATGGTAAGATGTCTCACATATTCACATAATTTTATTTTGACTCATTGGTAAGAAACTATTCATTACTGTCCTGACACATAAAGAAATTGTTTTTGAAGGTGTATTTTGATGTTTAAGTTTTTATTTTTATATATTCTTTACTGTCATTCAGTTAAAGTTGCATAGTGTCTTAAGTGAAGTATTTTCCTTTTTAACATGACAGAAGTCATTTACAAATTTGTTTGTTGCTTGGTATCTTATTCACCATTCTCATCACAAATTGAACTATACAGATGAAAAAGAGTTTTCTTTTTTGATCCTTTATTCTTTTCCTAGTCCCATTTTAATCAGATTCATCTCTTTGACATCTCAAATGTTAATTCTTTATTTAGCAAAATGTAACATTATTACCTTTTCACTTTTTAAAATAGATAACACCATATCTACTATATTTTTATACAGTCTCATAACCACAAGTCTTTAGAAAAGTGAATGGAAATAAATTATTGGGACAAAATCAATATGATGGTTGTGAGAGGTGTACGATACAAGAGATGTGATTTAATCATTTAAGTTTCTCAAGATTTCAACTATTTGGGATGATTTTTGGCCAGTATTCTAATTTTCTACCCCATTCTCTTATTTATCTCTTTCTTGGACTGCAGTACATATATAAAGACCTCTTAACATTGTTCTACAGGTTGTTGAGTTCTGTTTATTTTCTAATCTTTTTTTCCTCTCTTACTCAGTTTTGATTATTTTTACTCATCTGTCTTCAAGTTACTGGTATTTTCTTCTACAGAGTCCAATTACCTTGAAATCCATACTATGAATTGTTTTAGCAAAAATATATTTTTCATTTTAAGATTTACATTTGGTTTTCTTAGAACTTCCTATATCCTTCCTAAAATTCCCTTTCTTTTATTATATCCCTGTGTGTATAATATTATATACATATATGATGTGTATGTGTGTAAATATATTAAATAATTTACAGGATCACATATGTAAATATGAAAAATCCATAGCATTACATATATACATACATACATACATATGTATGTGCAGTATCTATAATATATTTACTTATATGTAATGCATGTGTGTGTGTGTGTAATCCTGTGAATTCTCTCATATATTTATAATACTTATTTTAAAGTCTGCTAACTCCAATATCTTAGTCTTCTGTGGGTCTACTTATATTTCTGGTTTTCCCTTTGATTCTGGACCACATTCTACTTGTTTTATATATATAATAATTTTTATTGAATACTGGACATTGAGTTTCATACATTTTAGAGACTCTGGATTTGGAAAAAGGTTGGTTTTTATTTTGGCACACAGTGAAATTATTGAAGGATCACCTAAAACCTATGGAGCATATATTAAGTGTTCTTCCATAGTTCTAAGGCATAGTCCTTAGTCTGGTTTGTGGTTCTCATTCCTAATGTGTGAACTTTCCAAGCAAAGTCCAAGATATTGGTCAAAATCCTATCACATCACTGGACTTAACTCCAGACTCTGTGTCCTGTGCATCAAGAAGTTGCTGAAATCTCCTTGCATCTCTTTTAGCTTTTCAGCTGTGGCTTTCTTCTTGTTTTTCCTACTGCAGTTTACAATTTAGGGAAGGATTTAGGGGGCTGTTGTGTGTAAATTTTGTGTCTCCTCTTTTCTGGCTCCCTCTTTTTCAGGATTTTCATTAAAATTCTAGCTGCTCTGACAACTCTGAATTCTGACCTCTGGCTCTTCAGCCATGTAAGAATGAAACTTTTTTCTTGGGCTATACCTCCTCTGCAGGGCACCAAATTGTTAAGGCCCTTAGCAGAAAAGCTGTTTCAATATGCACTTTTCTTATTTCAAGGGTCATATCACCA